AAAAGGGGGGGGGGGGGGGGGGGGGGGGGCGCTGGGCGCATCCCAGGGAGTGTGTGCCTGAGCTGGGCAGGCGCAGCCTAGTCTTCAGTGTCAGCCCAGCCCAGTGCAGCTGGACCTGCTGTGACCGCCTTGGTGGTCCCAGGGCCCTGCCTGAGCCCTGGGGAGGGTGTTCCCGTGGGCACTTCGGAGCCACAGGGCCTTTGAGGACCCCCCCCCCCCCCCGGACTTGGGCCCCACTTGAGAGTTTGTGCCTGACATTTGTTTGATCAAGTTTAAGATTAGAAGTTAAATTGGGTGACAGGATCCCAGTGCAGAGCTGGCTCCCTGGCATGGCCCACCCTTAGGGAGTGTCAACCACAGAAGATTTGGGGTCACCTCCAAGGCTGAGGTACAAAGTGGGGACACCTGAGCTGGGTGTGGCAGCATCTGGGGGCCGAGAGAAGTCGGTGTCGACCAGGGCGTCCTGGGCTCTGAGCCAGCCTCTCTGAAGCAGCTCTGAGCCATCCTGTCAGCAGACCACGACCACGACCACGACCACAACCCGTCCAGCCAGGACCTGAGCAGATGACCCCACAGGTGCAGGGGCGGGGGTGGGGGGGGCGGTGAAGGTTCTGGGCCCTGGTGGTTAGGAGGGAGCGTGGGGGGGGGCTGCATTCCTGCCCTGTCCAGGGGTGCTGCCTGGCTTGGGGTCAGGGCTGTCCCTGCCCAGGCCTCCCTGCTCCTTCCTGAGGTTGGAGGGAGTCTTCCTACCCAGTTTGTTGTGCTCCCCGCTGTGGTCCCTTCCTGCCCTTGGGAAGTGCTCTGTCCACCCAGGACTGGGACTTGGGGAGCGGGGCAGGGGGGCATGGCAGGCCCCTGCCCATCATCAGGGGCTCAGAAAAAAACGGGTTCCTGCGGCACATTCCCTTGCTCTCTCTGCTTTGAGCCGAGCGCCCGCAGGGGTCTCTGGCCTGGCCCCCAACTCCCGCTGCCCACGGCCTCCTGCTCCCACGCAGCTGGGAGTCCTGCACAGTGGGCACCAGCAGCCTCCAGGGATGGCCACGGGGAAGCAGGAGAAGGGCCCTCAGGGCCCTGGGTGCAGATGCTCCTGCCCCCTCCGTGCCCTCAGCAGGTGCCCCTCAGAGCCGGGGCCCTCCTGCTCCGTCCTCTCTCCTTGGCCTGGGAAGGAAGCCTCCGAGGGGTCCCCCAGGCTGTGCTCCTGTTTCACACGGAGTCACTGCAGGGGAGGCTCAGCCAGGCCCGTCCTGCCGCCCGGCCACAGGAGCGGCCACAGGAGCCCCTGTGCTGGGGGGTGGGGGGGTTGTGACTGAAAACCTAAGTGCTCGCTCGCTCGCTCAGGGAGGGGGGTCAGCCCTGTCCTCCTGGTTCCCAGTGCCGCTCTGGGCCTCGGGCCCCCTGTGCCTGCTGCTCCCAGGGTGAGTCCTCGGTTCGGGGCTGCGTGAGGGGCACGCGCTGCAGGTCCTGCCGCCGCCTCAGCACGTGGAGCCCTGCTCAGCAGGAGGCACCCTGGGCTGCGGAAGCTTTTCACGCTGACAAAGGGCCTGGGGTCTGCTGCTCCCGGCAGCACGCCCCTCACGGCCCCTCCCTCTGGCCCCAGCTTTGCACTGACTGGGGCTTCGTCCAGGTGGCAGGCTCAGCTCATCCCCATCCCCCTCCTGTCCCTGTGGTCTCAGGTGGGGGTTGGAGAGGCTCTGCGTCTCTGGGAACTGAAGGCAGGTGGGTTGTGGTTTCCTGCGCAAGGGCTGGCGCGGGCACCTCCTGCCCTTGGTCCTGCTTGGCTTGGTGCAGGCCATACGTCCTTGGAATTTGCCAGAAAATAGTCCCGCAAATGAGGGCCGGGGTCTGGTTCGCCAACGAGCCTCACCCCCCTGTGACATCACCTGAGTCATGGAGGGTGACTGCAGGAGGAGGGGGGTGCGAGTTCTCGCAGGACTGTCGGAGCCCCGACCTGAGCGCTGGTGGTCCTTTCCGGAGGGCCGGGCTGGTTGGGTGGCAGGGGAGGGGCTGACCACAGGCCGAACCTCAGTCTGGTGCCGAGCCCGTGGGGTGGGGCAGGGCAGGGCAGGGCGGCGCAGCAGAGCTGTGGGACGCTGGCTTCACTAACTTAGCTGGAAAGTGTCAGGAGCCAGAACACCACGGCTAACAGTCTAGCATCGTTTTAAGTTAAAACTGTTAGATAAACCACTTAAATACATTATGAAAGGAAGGGAGGAAATATATTGTGGGTAATCTGAGCTGATTTAAATAAATTGTCTGGGAGACATTGAATGTGTCACTCAATTCCCGCATCAGCCTGTCTGTACCTCAAATGGAATTAACGAGATGCGCCTTTCCAGTGGTCCAGAATGACCCTTACAGGCCACACCCTCTCCCTGGGGCCCCAAGAACACAGTCACTGTGTTGGGTGGGGGTGTGACCCTGTCTGGAGGACCCCCAAGGAGGGCCTCCAGCTCAGGGGTCACCCGCTTGGCGTGGACCTCACTGCGGGGGGGCCCCTTTCACTGTGTCTTTAGTGATCCCAGCACCTTCCCTTTTGCTGCCGGGTTTCTGGGATTGCGTGGCTGTTGCTGAGCCAGGCTGGGTGGCTTTACGGAGCCGTGTCCTTGCTGACGGTCGGGTCGGCGTGAGCAAAGGTGCTGCGGGGCGAGTCGGGCGGCTGGTGGGTTTGAGAGACAGGCGGCTGGAGGTGGCCCGCCTCAGGTCTCCACTTCTGGAACCTGTTGGTCTGGAAGCTGTGGCCTGGCCGGCTGAGGTGGGCAGGTCCTGACACCCGTCAGGCCAGGGCCGCCGCTTGCCTTGTCCTCTGCAAGGCCTGGGTGCTCCTGCCCGTGGAGCGTGGCAGCTCTGCCTGTGCAGACACCGCTCGGCTGAGTTCATGGCGTCTCCCCTAAAGTCCTGGCTGGTGGGGCTCCGTGGATGGAATATTGGCCCTTGGACTGAGGGTCCGGGTTTGATTCTGGTCAAGGGCACGTCCTTTTGTTGCAGCTCGATCCCAGGACCCAGTCTCCCACATGGACGTTTCTCTCTCTCTGTTTCTCCCCTACCCTCCACTCTCTAAAAATCGGTGGGAAAAGATCATCTGGTGAGGATTAACCAAAAAATAAAGTAAATAAAGTTCCTTAACCCCGTGCCCAGCTACACGCAGAACGGCATCTTGCACATGTTGGACAGGAATAAGCGGATCAAGCCCCGGCCAGAGAGGTTCCAGAACTGCAAAGACCTGTTCGACCTGATCCTCACCTGCGAGGAGAGAGTGTACGACCAGGTGGTGGAAGGTGAGCCCACGGCCTGGGCCTGCATGTGCCATTCGTCCCTCGTCCTCCCCCTCCCCCGGCCCCAGGGGGCCCAGCCGGCGGGAGGGCCTGGCCAGGGCCTTTCCTGCTGAATGCTTCTCCCAGGACAGGGCAGGGGTGAGGTGGGGGCCTGGTGTTCACTGGGTCACAGCCACTTTGAGGAGGGGGTTTGGTGCTCGGCCAGGGCAGGTGACGTCGTGCCCTCTCTGTCCCCTTAGACCTGAATTCCAGGGAGCAGGAGACCTGCCAGCCAGTGCACGTGATCAACGTGGACATCCAGGACAACCACGAGGAGGCCACGCTGGGGGCCTTCCTCATCTGCGAGCTGTGCCAGTGCGTGAGTATCTGCCCGCCTGGCCTGCTCTGGCTGCGCCGGCACCTGAGGACGGGCTCGGTGCGCAGGGTCCAGACCCAGTCCTGCACCTGAAGGTGCCCACGGTGTGAGAGTCCACAGCTGGCTCTGGGCAGTTCGCCTGTGTGTGAAGCTGACAGAAGGCAGTGGTTGCGGGGGTCTCGCTGCCATGAAGCTGCTGTGTGTCAAGGTGTCAAAGGGCCCCGAGGGGCTCTCCATCCCTTCACTCACCCTTCTGGGCGGCTGGCCCCTGTGGCCCTGAGCACCTCCCTTGTGTGGAAAGCCAGGGCTTGTGCAGCCACCGCAGCTGTGCTCAGAGCAAAGTGTTTCTGTTACGTGTGACCAAAGCACTGAGCACGGAGGAGCCCACAGCCCTGGCTCTGCCCCTGGTCCCTGGGTTTCGGTGAGCGGCATGAGTGACAGAAACAGGAAGAAACACATGGCTGGAGCATCGGCCTGCGCCCAGGGGTCCCAGGTTTGATCCCCGGCTGCGGGAGGCGGCCCATCAGAGTGTCTCTCACGTCAATGGTTCTCTCTCTTTCTCTTGCCCCCTCCTCCCCTCCCTTCCATTGTTTCTATAAATCATTGGAGCCAGGCTGGCATGGCTCAGTGGATAGAGCGTCAGCCCACGGACTGAAGGGTCCCAGGTTCAATTCCGGGCAAGGGCATGTGCTCAGGTTGCAGGCTTGATCCCCAATAGGGGGACATGCAGAGGGCAGCTGATCAATGGTTCTCTCTCATGATTGATGTATCTCTCCCTCTCCCTTCCTCTATGAAATAAAATAAAAATACATTTTTTTAAAAAAACACAAAAATCAATGGAAAAAACATCCTTGGGTTAGTATTTTTTTAAAAAAGTTCAACCAAGAAGTCTAGAGATAGGTGGGCCCTGCTGGTTTGCTCTGAGGGACCCAGCAGAGCTTCCATTCCCAGTGTGCCTCATGGTCCAGTGTGGCTGCTGAAGCTCCAGCAATTGTGCCCATGATCCGGCCGTCACGCAAGAGAAAAGGCTGCAGGGGGAAGACATGTCGCGGAGGTTACACGTGTGACTTGGGTCACCCTGGCTAAAGCTGAGTTACTGGGGTGGGGGTGGCGCTCTTCAGAGGCCTGCCTTTAGGCCAGGACTGGGGCCAGCAATGGCCTTGGCTGCAGTCCAGCTGGCCACCCAGGGCTGACCCCTGGCAGCACCTCCTTTTAGGGCAGTGGTTGTCCACCAGGGCGCCTGGCCATGTTTGCACACTTGTGGGTCTCACAACTGGGAGGGACGTTGGTGGCAGCCAGTGGGGAGAGGCCACAGATGCTGCCACACACCCTGCACAGGACGGTGCGCCCCCTCACGGGGGAAAGGGACTGCCCTTCTGTGCCCGGTGTCCGTTGAATGAGGGTCCGTAGCTGCAATCCATGTGACTTTTTTTCCATTTTATTTTTTTAATACATTTTTTATTGATTTCAGAGAGGAAGGAAGAGGGAGAGAGAGAAACATCAATGATGAGAGAGAACCATTGATTGGCTGCCTCCTGCACACCCCACACTGGGGATCAAGCCCCCAGCCCGGACATGTGCCCTGACTGGGAATCGAACCCTGAGCTCCTGGTTCATAGGTCGACGCTCAACCGCTGAGCCACGCCGGCCGGGCTCCATGGAACATTGGACACACTGGATAGCAGGCCCTGGTTTCAGAGCCCAACCCCCTTCCCATTGCGCTCTCCCAGGGGAGGGCCTGGGGCCACCGGCATGAGGATGGGAAGCACTGGTCAGCGCCAGCGGGGCTGCTGGGGCCTGGGCCCCACCCCCCCCTCCCCACCCCGCTCAGACGCATCTCTGCCCGCAGATCCAGCACACGGAGGACATGGAGAACGAGATCGAGGAGCTGCTGCAGGAGTTCGAGGAGAAGAGCGGCCGCACCTTCCTGCACACCGTCTGCTTCTACTGAGCCAGCAGCCACCCCGCCCGACGGCCTCTGCGCTGCCTGTTGTTAATACTTGTTCCTTCCCACCCCAGTTCTGACCCCGAGGGCTGCTGCCCAAGGATGGCCTCTGCGCTGTACATAGTTTGGCCCCACAACTGTCAAGTTCGGTGTCCCACCCTCGTTACTAGTGTGAAATTAAAGTGTTTTTCTTTAAGCAAAGCAAACACGGTTTAGTTTACTTCCCCCAATGTCTGCCATCCTGTGTTCCCTCCCCGAGCTGGCTGGACGGTACAGGCGCCTGGGGGAGCCTGCAGTGTCCACTGAACAGCTGCCGCCGCCTCTGCCTTGTCCTGAGCTTGGCCCGTCCCTCTGGCCCCCACAGGTCCCTCTGGAGGAGGCAGAGCTGGGTGCCCGACGTGCCTCCCCGGCCACTTAGGGGTTCTCTGCTGGGCTCTGTGGCTACAGTCCAGGGCCCGGCTTCCCGGCACCCAAGGGTTTCTGCAGCCACTGGGGCTGCTGGCAGAATGGGGCCCTACTCCCTACGGCACCTGCTCCCCACCATTGACCGCCCCCCCTCCCCCAAGTAGCCCGGCTTCCCAGTGACCCTCCTGGTTCATGCAGAGGAAAAGCCCCGGTCCTGCGGGGGGTGGGGTGGTGCAGGCAGTGCAGCCACGTGTCCTGGGCTGTGGAGGAGGCTGCACTCGGAAGCCTCCCCAGGCCCCAGCATCACGGGGCTCCCAGGCTGCCCAGTCCAGGTGCCCGGGACTGACCCTCGGGAAGCCAGGCCGAGGCTGCTGCTGCCCCGGGGCGGGGGGGGGGCATTCTCTGGCTTTTGCTCAGCTGTCCTGGGCCCTGTGGCCAAGGCTTTGGAATGACATTCCTGGCAGCTCCCCAGCGACCCTGCCGGCCTCCCCACTAGGGACTGGGGCCCGGGGCTGCTCAGATACTTCCACTGAGAAATGGGGAGGAGGGAGCTGCGCCCGGGGGCCCTGGATCGCCATTGGGGTCGGGACGAGCGCTGGGCTCCAGAGCTGCTGGGCAGGCGACCAGGGCCCCATACCGACCAGATGCC